TTATCATATATCTATTGTTAAAAAGAAAATCGGAAAATGTGGCAGTGTATTGACCCAACACTATCCTTACTAAAATATCGACGTTTGTGTCCCCTCACAATTCATTCTGACACTGGACTTTGTAACGAAAGCACGTCATTCGTGCCAAAGGATTCTAACTAATAATGTCTAAAACTATATACAATTAATTATTATAATTTGGAATGTGTGTTAATATCAAAAAGAAACAGATCATCATAGAATAATCATCATCATTAGTTAGGAGGGACTAGACCATAGTCAACCAAGCTGGCCCAGTTCCGGTTGCTTGACTTCACACATATAAAAGAACATTATAAAATGAAGAAAATATAAGTATCTAACAAAGAACAACAGAATTATAACTAAACAAAGAATTGTAGTCGCCAGTGGCAATGGCGGTCGCGGAGTAAAAACTGCAAATTACATTAAAACGAGCGAGAGAAATTTCAAAGCGGGACAACGTAAGGACCTTTCATATTTGCCGTGCCTTGCATTCTACAGACAGACGCCAACCTTTATAATTCAACTTTTTATGTAGTAATCTTATGGTCTTCTAGTAGTAGTACTAGTAATTTGCGAGAGATAATCTTTGATTAGTGATATTATTTCTTTTGTCTAACCTTTCAACTAACCTAACTTAAGAAAAATTACACGAGTAAAACATTATCAGACATTTCTCTAGTTACCAAAATTCAAAAATTCATAGAACTGTCAATAACTTTCGATTAGTCACGTGTTTGTCTTGCGTAAGTTCTATACATTTTCGAATTCTATGGTATTCTTAGCTTCTAATTTATATGTAAATCTTGCAATCGCTTTGTGCAAGTGTCGCCTGCCTCTAATGTTAGCGGATATGGTCCAGAGAAGCTGCTTTTTGTGTTCAAGGAACATGTTTAGGTCTGCGCACTCGTTACGCGACGACTAGACGATGAAAATAAAAGTATTGAGTGTGTTCATTACGCAACAGGGCACGGTGATGAATAGATTATTCAAGAAATAATTCGCAATATAAGATAATAACGTGTTTCCCTGCCGAAATGACTATACGAAAATATATTTATCTCTTTCATTCTGTTTGAAAACACACTGCGATCACTCCGAGAAAAAGAGTCAGATGTTATGGATATAGGTCTCATAAAACATGTCATAGACGGACCTATGATTACCATTTGTATTGTACAAGTATTACTAACAGAGTGATATTACCACTAAACTGAATACGTAATTTAGATTAGAATGAATATGTCATCATAGCACATAAACACATCATCCTGTATCCAATGTTGAATGTCGTTATGAAACATTATGCCGTCCAATATTTAAAAAGTTATAAGCATACTGGCAGGAAAAATGAACACGTTTAAAAAAGTATTACCGCTTAGACAAGCAGTCATTATATGTAGTTACTTCGGACGTAATCTTCATATCCTGACACTTGTAATGGTAGTATTAAGGCTAGGTACTGCTTATAGTGAACCGGTACGCCGCCCACCCTTTCCGTGATTTCGCAAAGACGTGAGTTTATTAGAAGATATAGATATTAAGAAGATTACCCGTACTATTAGTATATCATTTTAAAGAAGATGTTAACACAACTGGAGAATTACATATCACACTGAACTTTTCATCTAAATAGCTCTATCTAAAGTAATAGCTCTATATAAAAGTCAAATAAATATAAGAGTCAAACAATAATATAGCAGTACGTAACGTAATTTTCTGCTTTCAAGCTCACAGTAATCATTATACCATTAAACATTTTGTACAATCCAGAGGAAATTTCAGTGTTTAATTATTAAAATCATGTTATTAGAAACGATTTCGTCCTTATTTCTACTAGTTTTATACTTTACAAGGTACGATGTTCAGTAAATAATTTAGAACAGTTAATCATCTTTATATTATCTGAATACGGGAAGCAATGCTTCGGTAAATTCTACTCAGTTACAACTCTACACCCTACTGCAGCGATTTCATTTACTCATGTGAAACTAAACGCACGCGTTTGGAAACTTTCTTAACACGCCGTACACCCACTTTGTAATTATCGAGCAATTAGCACCGCACTACCATGTAGGGTTCCGTGAACTATTGCCACAAAACCACGTATAGGATTTCAAAATAAAGGAGAAGTCCTGCGTATTTATTGGCCAATCGGCTTCCAAGAACCTGCGATTGAAACCCTACAGTTCCAAAGTTAAACCTTTTTTGTTTACAATCTGTTGTATACCGACTTTTGCTTCTAAACGAAACCGGGACCATATAAAAAGGTCAGGTCTCAATTTTACTAAAAAAATAACAGGTATCCTCATTAAGCCCTTGTCTCTACATATGGTGGGCACAGTGTGAACTACTCTTTCATATGTCCATATATGTATTGTTTCCCTTATTAATTACATCATCTTTCACACAATCCATCCACATATAAAATCTTTACTACGTTTTTTTGCTTCTCATTCTCTCTATTCTGTAGTCACACGTAAAAACCTAATCTGTAATAACTCGTTGCAAGCCGATTTGTAATCCAAACCATAACTTACATAACGCTCGTAAATTTCCAGATTATGCGAAACACGTCAAATGACTATTTGCTTACAAAATACATACGGAACCTAAATAACTCATTAACAGCTCGCTCTTACCTATTTAACATCATGTACCATTTTGCTTCATTTCAAAAGTAAACTTTATTACATTCAATATACTAAACATCGATTGCGAATCGATCGCTTTCGTTGCGTGTTGAGTAATACCGATAGCCATAGACTATTTACAACACTATACGATCATAGACACTTTATAACTTGATGATGGAATGAGTAATGATGTTTAAATTGAACAGAAGGACGTTCAAATCTATCCCGCTGTATGCAATCAGTGTGTGTAAATTTTATGATCGATGTTTTTACTACATGTAGTCTCAAGTCTTAAATGCCTTACATAATCGCGATTATCTAGAGACACAATCGTAATTAAGAAGAAACAATGAGCTAACAAAAACAGTACTAGATAAACTGATATAAAGATATAAATATAGATATATAGCAAACTAGCTGTCTCCCGCAACTCTGTCCGCGCGGAATTAAAAAAACATGATTAGTAGCCTATGAGTACTTCCAGACTTTATTCTATATGTATGCCAAATTTCATCGAGATCCGTTTAGCTATTCTGGAGATACCTTCAAACAAACATCCATCCATCTATCCAAACAATCGCATTTATAACATTGGTAAGAAGTAAGACAGATTCATAATACTTAGGTACATTATTTGTGTATAGTATCCTATTATTACATGTGTAACGATCATATTGGTTTTTTTCTTGACATTTTAAAGCATGATAAAGCAAACAGGCTCAATACAAAAACTTTCATAAACAATTGCTGTTACTCTCTGATCTAAGAGCCAAGGTAGTGTGAAATACGTTTAATCTCCCACGCGGAATAAAATTAAGCAATCGCTTTCTAATTTACACAGTACTTGTGAAGATTTTCGCTTTAACATCTTCGCATGAATTTTCCCGGCTCGCCCGGTGAAATACCACGAGCACACAGAAGACAGCCGTCAAGTGGAAGCAATTCCGCGTTTCATCTGATGAGTGTGCATCCCGGAGGCCTAATTTAGTCCTCTTTCTCTTCCTACCCTTTTTCTTATAAGGAAAGAATGGGAATGGGATGTGGACTTTCCGGATGAGAGGATGTATGGAAATGTTTTCTTTCTGTGCATCCTCTCCTCCGTCGATTAAAGGTAGGCAACGCATATGCAATTGCGTGTGTCTATGGGCATCGGTCACTTCGCTATTTTAGCGATTTTACGTGGCCTCCCGCTCGTTTGCCACCTTATGATATAAAAAAAATTGTATTATTCTATCAGCCCGATAAGTTCTACACTGATGTCTACCTTATGTAAATTGCAATAAAGAGCAATAAATATTCTCTTCTGTTCTTATTCTCCTGTAAGTAAATAAGACAATCCAACTTTGTTTCTGTTAATTTTATTTTTAAAAGTGTTAAAGATACATATGAACGAGCCATTGAAATTTTAGGGCAACCTCACACGAAGTAGCAATCTCATACAGTTTATGACGATTTCTAAGAACAGTCATAGACGCATCCGATTTTAGGGCCGCGATAAAGCACGAATAGGTGTCACAGGTTACTTAATACGTGACTTGTTACAACGAACAACCTTTGGTTATGTTTATACATAACTTGATTGAGTAACAAAATAAACATGTCAAGCCGAAACTCTTCGAAACTCTATGTATAACTTATTTTATAAAGATGGTAAGTAAGTAGCACTTTATTAAACTTCAAGTTGAAAAGGTCTTTGACAGGTATCAAAGTTTTAATCAGGTATATAAAAACAGCGTAAATACTGCAAATAATGTTGACTATTAATTGTAGAGAGGCTACTAGTAGAGACGATTACTTTCAGAGTCAATGTAGAGTCACAATAGGATACAAGCAACGTTATCGTCCTTATGTACTAAATATTATTTATTTATAGTAAAACTGTTCAAAATATGTAACCAACGTACAAAAAAAAAGAAATAAACTCCTTAAATTTACAAAAAATAATATACCAATGTCGTTGAACTTATAATATTTGTTTTTAAATATTACAGTTATTTGAAAATTGTATAAATTAGAATAATATTTATTAATTTAATTTATTTTATAATTAATTAATGTTAATTAAATTCAAGTGCGAATGACCCTCGCAACGATCACACAGATAACCAAGATTGTAGTCTAACCCGTGTGTGTAAATGGATCAATATTTTTTTTTCAAATTCTTTTATAATACGTGATTATTTTTTTTAAAGTATGAATTTTTCGGATGCATATCTTTCGTTTAGATAGTTTCAAATTCATATTATAACCGACGACAAAATAATTGCTGTTAATAATTAACCACAAGAATACGACACCAATTATTGAATAAAAAAAAAGGTTTTGGTGATTAGTAAAACCCACCTTTTTGGTTTCCACCTCCGAATGAAAACTCCAAACATATTGAAGATAATCACTAAATCACATCACTGGCACAAAACAAAAATAAAATTTCCTTCCGAACCACAAATTTCACTGTAGTTTATTCGTCAAAATCACTTCAAAAACTCAAAACTTGTCTATGCCCGGGGCGTAAGTCGGAAAGTATTCCAAATATAAAATCACCCCATCACTGTTTACAAACAAACACAGCGTTCCAAATTCGAAAATAGAATTGACGTTTCGAATTTGACACAGTCAATATGAACGTGGATGCAGTATATTCGGTTAATAACGGAAATCGAAATAACAAAATAAATGTAGAGACGCGACGCGATAATACAGTACACGTGCGCTCCGAGCGCGCGCTGCAAGGCGACTGAGCGGCTCATGGGCTCATGACTCCCGCTTGCAGTATGCAGCTGGGCTGAGATCTATGCCCCTGTTGCTTCGTATTAATAAATTTTAGATGTCAACCGCTTCGCACCAGCAGCGCAGCGGTCGCGGACCTGAATGGACCCGTCGCACACTGATTTGCGATACTAACAATAATTTCACTCTGCAATATCGATTATCTTATTCATTTTGACACTAATTTCAGTGCAGAATAAGTTAAGAGATTGAAAAATGATTAATAAAGTAAATTAATGTAGTTTACATTTGAAACTTTGCATTATTCGTATTTTTCACAAAAGTTAGAAAGTCTGAATAGTCAAAAAGAATAGCAAAGAATTGTAAGAAAAATATCTTCGACAAAAGAAAGTTCGCTCCAACTTTCATTCCATCCAGACTTAGAATGACTTAAGGTGATAACTTTTAATGGGTCTTTAATTCAGTAAAAATCACGGTGAAAAGTGTAGTTGTATTAATTAGTTCTTAAAAAATAACCTTCAATAACTGCCGATTCAAAAATAACAAAAAGCAATTTCTCTTGTATGATTGACGGCAAAATAGGTATGGATACAAAGAGGTTACATTAACTTGTACACCTTGAAACAATACCTAGATATGTTCAAATACAAGTTATAACAAGCTAGATATAGGTGAACTTTCGTTACAACAAAATCGATATAGCATGCGGAGTTACGCCCTGGCCCAATTCGCTGCGGCGAGCCGGCAACTGTTCCCGAGGGACTGACAACTCCCGACCCACTTTCTACTTCGCGGACGTGTCTGATACTATTCTGAATGAAGTTCCCTCTTATTGCACTTCATTTGGGAAACTAATGAAGATATAACAATGACGAGACAGGACAATACAAAAAATATTATCAGGGAAATGAAATCCAGTCATTTGTCTTCGAGAAAAATGTTTAGGGTATGGTTACTCCAGACTTTTTATTTGTAGATCTTTCCAGAACCATACCATTTACCAACTGAGTATGGCGCTCATTCCTATCTAGATTATTCGTTGATTACGGAATGAATAGACTAATGATCTTGCGAATTATAGGTCCAAAATTTTTTTTAGAACTTTGGTAAAAAGTTACAGACAATTTTTGATCGTACACTTCAATAAATAAATCTTCGTTCAATAGATAATTACTTAATTTTAAATAAAAAGATGAGATATGGGTAAAAAAGATTAAATGTGGGAATACGCGAGTTCCGAGCTTGGTCGACCGGTTTCGTAAATAATGTCTTTACAGGGGTCACCAATCTTTACTCTTAACTGCGCATCATAGCACAGATATCAATGTATTAAAAATAGCATGTTGATTAGAAAATGCATTCATCTGTTAAAATCAAGTAAAAGAGGGTTAAGGTAAAGAAGACTAAACTAACGCCTCCGGTACACCACTCATCAGACGAAACGCAAAACTTCTTCATCTGTCTGTGTGGTCGTGGTATTGCACTGGGCGAACCGGCCAATTCGTGCGAAGATGTTAAAACGAGCTCTACTACTGTTTGTTTACCACTTTGTCAAAAGGAGTCGTGTACTCAACTGTAACTGGTTGAACCAGAATAATCCAAATTTTCAGCGCCTAATCTATTAAGTTAATATGTTCCTTTATGTCCAACAAGTCTTAGCTGTACCTAAAATGTAATCATGTTTCAAAGTAATTAAAATAAAAAAATAGTTTTCATATTAATCGATATTACGCGGGCTACAGATTGTACTCCCCTGCCTAATAGCTTTTATTGCATAGACTGCACCGTCGTGCAGCGACCACCACACCGCTGATTACGATATTGTGATGGATGCATGTATAATTCATAAACTACCCCTCACTAGCTACATGTAATTTGTAATAAGCCTTCACTATTTTCTAATGTGGAAAATATTCGATATAAAGTCTTCATAAGTACAAAACAACGAATACAATATTAACTTATAACTGAATAGAGTTTCCAACTTCTCCAAATGTTGTGTCTTTTGTCCTGTCTATTCGATTTATAAATATAGAATTAAATATGTTTTCATTAGCGTAATTAAGCTTTCATGTTCATTTATTACTAGGTGCGATGTCACGTTATTGGACCAACGAATTAAATTCATAAAGCGAAAAAATAGTTCTTTACTATCTAAAAAATACAGCTAACTTAACCAAGAATGGCATGTCTTAGTAGAAAAACCTTACTTCTTTTCCTTTAGAATTCAATGGTCACAAAACTTTATTCATTCGTTTCACATAGCATCAAAAAAGACAGCAAACATCGCAAGTACACTACATGTACAGTCAGCTGCATAAATATGTATACATTTGTAAAGTTTAAAAACTTGTCTACGCATTCGGTTTCAAAAATATATACGAACGTATCCGTCCGTATACTTCTGACAATGAATGCATGCTATTGACGAATACGTACATATGTATTTCTGAAGCAGAATGTACAAAATTCTAAAAAATTATCAATGTATACATATTTATGCAGCTGACTGTACTATTTCTTGTAAGTGACCGCGAGCTACAAATGTTCCCAGACATTCAAGGAATTAGCACATCTCTCGACACCCGATATTTGCGTAATGGCAACACGGAATCGCCTTTGGCGCTGACATTACCTAGCATTTCCCCACAGTAAGTGGCCAAGTTCAAAGTATAATCAACAGATTGGTCTGTAGTCTCTTACTCTATATTTATACGTATTTGAACTACATATGGTTTAACTTAGTGGGGAACTAACGAAAAAAATATATTGTAGTAAATAAAAATGTAAGCTAATCTTACTTTAATATAGCGAATATTCTTAACAATTTAAGAGCTTTTCCTAAACAAGTACCTAGTCTTATTACTTGAGTGTCGTGTAACACGAAGCCAGGAAACTACAGGCTTAAGGGCTGTCAATATATTTCGGTATTAACAGTCCTTATAACTTCAATCTTCATGTCATGATATTTAATGGGGACCAAATATCTCTAGTGTGAACCTGTATCGTATCGTCGCGTCGATCCTAAGTCAATTTGAAATGCTTCAGAAAATTGGTGAAAAAACGAATTTCAGCTATTCTTTTGTTTATTGTAAGGAACAAATTTTAAAAACAAATGCCTATTGCAATTAGGTGTGCTCGTAGCAAATAAATTTTCTGTTGCTACGTCACGAAGCATCATAAATTATCCGAGCATAGCGTGACAACCATGGTAGTCAGCATTCCCCTGTGGGGGCTTCTCGACCTAGTTCTGAACAAAATTGTAATACATACTTTCCTTTGCCTATCCTAATACTTTGTCTATTTATTGTATCGGACATTAGACATAATTCTAATAAAATATATATCTTTTTTAAAGTATGACAAAACTCGCGAAGTCTTGTGAATTTTTATCGTCAACTAAAATAAGTACAAACGCTATAATACTCATGAAAGCTTTACTTTCATTAGGAGGGAGCAGTATATCAACATTTTATAACCTTATTGATCACATTTTGAATGTGGTAAAGATATACTTTCACGTTCAAAGTTAGTCCGGAGTAGAAAGTGAGATAAGTCAAATGGATGCGAATAGTATGGGACGTGCTCCGGGGAACTGGGAACCCGGGAACCGTGGCATTGCGGCTCGACGTGACCGGAATTAGGTCACACCGTTGATTGGCCAAGCCAATAACTTTTATTATCATTTTACATAATTTTATCATAAAACATTGAGTTAGGTAAAAAAAAATGTAAATTAAACTCATCGTATTTACAAAGCTTTCTCTATTGTTCGCGTTACATCATTTGTATTGAATAATTTTATTTAAGCATTATCTTAGTACAGTGGTTCCCAAACTTATTTTGTCTATTGCACACTTTGTGAATAAATATTTTTTTAGCGCCCCCATATTTTCACATATTTAAAAACCACTATAACTTCATATTAAATTAATTTATTATTGGGACCTATATATGTATATTAACGGAGAATTCTAAACGAAACTTTTACTATAACCCGCAACTTGAGACCTGCAGCGCCCACAAGGGGGCGTTATCGCCCACTTTGGGAAACACTGTCTTAGTATAACAAGTTTATCGTTAACATTTTTATTTATTATATTAATCCTTTGTTCAGTATTGTTGTTTCAACATAGTTCTACTATTGGATCATATTACTATACATTCATAAATGTCCTTTGGTTGAGAAAGTTATACATTCCTAAGTTAGGTAAAAAAACAATACATAACATAATTGTACCACATATATTATTTATATCCAGATTACAGTTTTAAATAAATCTTCTAGATATATAAATAAAAATCATTATTTTTAATATTATTTCTCTATGCGTTCCTAAGTCATTTATCATTCATGGTTTTCATTGCAATTTACCGTGGGTTTCCGATACTTAAATATGTGTATAACACATCGTCATTATCTTTGACAAAACAGAGATAGCATGTTTCAAATGGAAATTTTGGACTCAGAAACCCTCGGTTAGTCCTATATTATATTGGGTTTTGAATTCTTACCAATTTATCACATTACTACGAATGCTAATTTCAACATATATCATAAAAATGTAAATCGCAAACAGCGTCAGCAATTACTAGGCTAGCATAGAATAAACTGCGTGTATGGCATGACGCGGTCGCAGGTTCGACGCTCGCACCACGTCGACGTAATGGCGATGGCAAATAAGCAAATATAAAGGTATGTACACATTGACACTAATATTAATAAGTTTTTTTAACAACACGTTATAGTGAAATTGATGAAGAATATTGATAGAGTGCTTAAAATTAAATTACGTACATATATTGAGGTATAATGGATTGCTACAAAGGTAGAGGACCAAAATAATACGTATGGATTGTGTAAAAGAGGATATGCGTAAGAGGAGGATGGATTCAGATATGGCTGATAGAGATGTATGGAGGAGCACATACTATGCCGACCTTCCGTAAGGATAAAGGCATCGATGACGATTATTGAGCTGGATTTAAAATTATTAATG